AGATGTATGAGTAGTAAAGCCATCAGTTGTTTGATGTTTTGTTAAACGTGTATCCTCGGACCGACCAGCCACAGGGTCTTAGCTTTTCCAAGTCTACCTTGGGAGAGGCAACTTGGAGAACTGCTACTCCTCCAAACAGGAAAGGTGGTGACGGTGCATGGTGGAGCATGGCAGCTTACTTATTCACCATGTTTTGGGGGTTTTTACAGATTTCATTTAATTTGACCTTTCTTTTTGTCAATCACTTTGTAAGCTATTTCGCTCCTGGAGCGCGAATCTCTGTTTTTCAACCCCCTTACCGTAAGTTTACATTTTCCATCCAACAAAGTTCACATAATACTGATTATGTCTTGTGGGGTCGTTTGTGTTTGGCCAAGGACGAATTCAGATACCATCGTTAGCATGTTTATTTGATTTTGTTATCTGGAATGAATGATTTACGGAGGTAAGTTAACATGATGTGATCCACTAACGTTGAAAATATGTAAAGTCGAAGGAACAGTTTTGGTCTCGGTCCGCATTTTTGTTAACAAAATAGACACATACCGCTTAAAAAGATGATAATACAGACCACTTGCAAAGCTGTCAGTTGTTTCTCGAATGTTGTGCGTGTTAAATATTCAATAGAGACATCTCATTTACATTTACTTTTATTACGTTGGTAAAATCTGTACAGACATCACACCAACCAATTTGCGCGCAAAATGAGAAGACTACATGAAGGCTTAATTTATTTTAAGATCGATTTTGATCAAGAAATTGGCCTGATCGCAGAAAAGCGATTGCGTGACGCTCGGTAAGTTGTAAAAGGAAACGTTATCACATACCAGAGGAAAAAACTCTTTAGATTCTCAGTCTACATTTTGTACCCACTCTGCAGTATGCAGTCTACATTTTGTACTTGGTCCACAATTTGTCCGCAGTCTGCATTTTGCAGGTGCTCGTTTAGTTTTGGTTACAGTTATTCGCACAACGTACATAATCTACCACAAATACCTGTGTGTGAGATAATTCGACATTTTTGTTCTTTTCCGCGTTAATACTCTTCTTTCCTTTTGTAAGAATGTAGACATCACT